GCCAAAAAAATTTTTAAAGGAGAAACAGCAGCATTGCCAGACGAGTATTGGGGTTTGATTTTCAGTGGCAGTTCCACACACAGATTAATTTGCTAATCCTTAGAGAAACTCTGGGATCTCAGTTTCCTTCTTTCCTATATACGTTTGATTGAAATTAGCTGGTTCAGCAGGTGGCAGGGTTCCTCCACCCCACCCCTGGCTGGCATCTGTCCCCAGCACCCAGGCACGCTGCAGCCCAGGAGCAGAGGGAGCCCGTGGCGCCCTGAGGAGGGAGGCATGGCCGGGCCTCAGGGCTGGCTTGTGCTGAGCAGGAGGGTAGGGGCATGCTGCCATCCCCTTCGCCTCTTGAGGGATGCTCACGGTAGTATTCGGCCCCCCACACGCACCTTGGCCTCCCCGGGGCAGTGCTGCTTCCCTTGGACAAAAGCTGCCAGCTCGTGGGAGGTGTTTTCCGTCCATCTCAGGCCGGGAGGAACCCTGCATCGGGCCCCAGCCTCTCGTCCCCGGGCGCACACGGGCTGCTCAGCCGTGCCCAGCAGATGCCCAGGCCTTACTGGTTCCCCAGTATCCAAGTACGTTCCAGGTGAAATCTCCAACCTGCATTAGCCAGCACTGCCTTTCCTCCCTGGGGATACTTTGCTGTGATTGGGATGGACTGACAGCACAGAGGCCCCAGGAAGAGCACGTCCTGTCTTCTCCTGGACCTCAGCAGTACATTTTTAAACAGGGAACTTCAGAAGATATATAAATTAGAGAGAGAAATGAACAGAACTTCATGTTTTCAATGCCAAGAAGTTTCAATACTTTCTGAAGGAAGGTCAAGCATTTGTGTACCTGTTGGTACAACTGATCCCTTATAGCTCTACAATGCAAGTGGTGTCTCTGATGTGACAGACCCTACCCACTGTGGAACAATAGGATACAGGAGATGCAGAAAATATTAACTAACCTTCTTAGTCTGTCAAGTAGGGGCACTAATATTAATTCTTTCACTTTGCAGGAGTATCAGAAAGAATCATTCACTAGTCTTTGCACAATGAATCATAATGTCATAGACAACAGCTGCCACAGATGTTTCTCAGACATTGGTGTGGTTCATTTCCCATCTAAACAAGCCCTTTCTGTCCCCCATTTTTCTCTGGGAAAAATGAAAGGAGAAGAAAAAGGAAGCGCAGTAAGCCATTATTTAGATCTGGGAATAATGAATCTTTATCTGGATTTTGTAACACAAATTATGTAATGAAGCAGAGAAAAGGCTTTTGAACAAATATGTTAATGAGATGGCAGCTAAGGGAGAGGTTACAGAGCTGCCAATTCTGAATCAAATTTTTAACGTGATTTTCTTTTGGATCTTTTTTCTTTTGTAGTCATTAGCCTGCACAGCATTTGAATGGGCTTTAGGGCACAAACTATATGGGAAACACCAATTCTAGGTCAAGAAAGACTGATCAGCAACATATAGTGACTGGGAAAACCCCGCTGACTCAAAATTCATAATGAGGGCTTTTATGTAGAAAGTTGTTGGGCACAGGGATTGGGCCGAAAGGACTGTTCATTCAGAGTCTTCAGAGCTTTTCCTGGAAAAATATCAGATGCTCCACTGGGAACTTAGTTGAAAGCTATTCCTGAAGCAGGACAGTGAACTGTCAGTAACTGGGAAGGACCGACTGGAGGGAAAATGGAGAGCAATGAAGGAGTGGTTTTCTCTGAATGCTGGTAATAACTCTTTCTATTTAAATTCTGTGTAAACCTTCCAGTGCATAACATTACCATACGACACCTCTTCTAGGCATCTTTTGAAGGCAAGAATCACATAGAGGTAAGTTCTGAGCTGGTTATTTTTTAAATGTGATTTTCAAAAGCCCGAGTAGAAAACATTATTTTTCTGCTACATCCTGGAATATCTCAGGGTCAGTTGTTTTAATTTTTGTTTCTCAGTGTCAAGTATGATATGACTTACAGTCCTTGTTTAATTTTATTTTGTTAAAACTTTTGTACCTCTGGCTGTTGCATGGAGTTTGCAACATGAAAAATCGTTAAAAAGAATGTGAGGAGTTTTTGTCTCAAGAGAGAGTAGCAGTTATCTAGGTCAAATGCACTGTTTAGAACAAGCAAACTGTACTTGTGTGCTTGGGCAGCATTTGAATTAGAGGCAGAAAATATGTCTATCTGTAATTAAATGAACCAGCTTCTGCCTGTAAAGCCACCTTTTTACAGACCATTCCTATCCTTCAATAACTGGAGTAACTGGGATGATACCTTGTATGGAGTGAAATATATTAGAAAAGCATCTTCTCAGGAAAAAACTATAAAAAAATCAGTGTTTTAGAATTTTTTCTACCTGCACTGACCCTGGAAATACTACTTTCTAAGTAGGATTGTTTTTCAGTCCCTTTCTCTACAAAATAATACAGGTCAACATTTCTTTACTAGTCTTCAGCAGTGTCCCACTTCTGACTGCAACTCTTGGCCATGGTTCACAGCACTGACTCTGGTATCTGAAGTATAAAAGATTGCAAGAGTCTGCATGTGGTTTGACAATGCTGTCAAGGTCATCTAGGCATTTGCTGTCTTGAAAGGTGCGGCTGTTCCTGCCACAGCTGTTCCTTACCCAGCCATAACTAGCCCAGTCCCCTGAGCTGGCTCTAGTGCTCACTGAACACTTCATTGAACCTATTCAGCTCATAAACAGCAGAAAAATGTTCTGCTTTCTTTGTCAAGTTAAATCAAATGAACCCCAGAGCCACCAGCTGAGAAACGTTGCAAAGGCCAGGGAAGGCTGGTGGCAGTGAGCCACAAGATGGGCTTGGCTCCGTTACTCAGACCCTTGATTCTTGACATGCTTCAAAATACCTGGGTTTATTAGGGCAGCAGAACACCAGATGGGAGAAATGCTATCTTGCAACCAGGAAAAGGGGTTTCAAGTACAAGAGACCTGATTCAGCTCCTGGTTCCACCTAACAACACCACCCATGCCTTAGCCTCTTTGTAACTCAAAAATATGAGTTCCTTTGAAAACTGATTTGAAACTTACTATGCAGAAGAACAAGAAGAGCACATTATTCAGCACTAGGGTATCTAAGGATGCTACAGTCTCCTGCTTCTAAATGATGTCTGCAACCAAAAGCTAGTTTTACCCACTGCTTCTAAAGCACTGTTTAAAGCTATTGCCCTCTACTATGTTCAGAGCCATACTGACTAGGGAAAATGATTCCTTTTTCTTGAGGGTGTGCAGTTAGTGCTCATTTAGCATGAGGTGAATTTCAGGCCGTGGGAGGTTTTCTTTGAGTGCCCTTTGGATCACCTAAAACTCCTTCTGGATGTTTTGCAAGTGCTTAGGCTCTCTGCAGCTCTCTTCTACCCAGCTGTCAGATCAGTTCTGTAAAGCAAGCAGCCAAAACTTTGTCTGTCCTCTCCTAGCCACAGTGAAAAGGAAGCTCATCATCAAATGATATGAAGGCCAGTTTGCAATAATTCTGCACAATAAGGGAATATTGATTCCCTTTTCTATATTGACAAAAAAAGGGACTGAGGCATAAGTTAGCTAATTTAATTGCCCATGGAGTCCCATGTCTCATCCCCAGGTACAGCAAGCAAGTCTCCTTTCACAAGATTAGTCCATCTAAAGGTATCAACACTTTTTTTGTCTTTTTGTTTATTTTCTTTTTTCTTCACTGCATCTTATTGAAATAAGAAAACAACAAATCATATTTGCACTGGTCTATCAGAGTTAACCTCAGAACAACTCCTTTGGAGTGAACTATTTGCATTTTCTTATTTAAGTGCTTCTAGTCTTCTTTTCTTCTTTTTGACTAGGAACCATTTTTTCATTGGAGACAGGCCACAGGAATTCAAGTTTTGGCCAATTCCCCACTTTCTGCTAGACTTTGCACTGGTGTGAAGTGTGTTTCCTCTGTGTTGGTAAGTTACCCAGAGGGAATGCTCCGAAAGGTTTGAAGATTTGGAATCTGTCCAGATCCGGTTGGCTACTTTTTTTCTTAGTGGGCATTCACTGCTTTTATAAATAAAAAGTAACATTGGAGTGTCTTGTTTTGCACTTCTGTCACTCAAGTTCCTCTGGTCAGAAGAGGACAAAGAGTGCAAGCTGTAGTCAGAGCTCCCTCATTACTTGCTGTGGAATTTGAAATTCTTTATTTCTGTGAGTAACTGCTTGCTAAGACTGTAGTAAGAGACTGCAGAATCAAATTGTTGAGGTATGATTTATGCTGACTTCAATTTCAGGTGGCTGTTGCCATCCCAAAAGCATAAAATATCAACAATTTGTTTGTCCTCTGTCTAGTTGTCCCTTTCTGCCCACTCAGTCCATCAGTAGGGCTGTCCCTTTGGATTCCAAGGCTGCGCTGTAGACAGTCACTGAAGTCAACAACGTCAAAAATAACCTTTCAAGTTAACCTTCCCGGGTTATTTTTAACCCAGAACCAGAGGCACAATGCCTCTCAAAATAATAGCCAAACACAGCCATGCATGCCTGCACAGACCTTTGTTTTGGGGAGACCCCCACTGTGGTTTTAACTCTCCGTTTCCCTGAAGGAGCTCAGTCCTTCCCACCACGGTGTGAATGAGCGAGGGACGATCCCCCCTCGGCGTCAGCAGCAGCTCCGAAGGCGCAGCTCCCGAAAGGACTGCCCCGGTCCCTGCCCGCTCTGGGAGCAGGGAGAGCGTTCTTACAGCACTCTCCCGACGGGGCCGGTAGCTGGTACACAGCCATTGAGTGGGCACGGAGGTGGCCGTGAGGGAGGGGAACGGCACCGGCGGCCGGGCCCGGCAGGCAGGGCGGGTCGGAGCGGGGCCGGGCCGCTCCGGGAGGCTCGTTCGCTGCCGGTCCTCGGCCGCGCCGCTGCCCGGGGCGGCCCCCGGCGGGGCGGGCGGGACGTGTCGCCCCCGGCCGGGTCCCTCCCGTCCCTCCCGCCCCGTACTTAAAGCGGCGGCGGCGGCGGGCGCCGCTCGCGCTCGCGCCTGACCGTGTCCCCCCACAGAGCATGGCCCCGACGTGCCTGCAGCCCCTGCTGAGGTACCGCTCCGTCGCCATCCTCCTGCTCACGCCGCTGCTGCTGCTGCCGCTGCCGTTCGCTGTGCCCACCAAGGTAAGCGCCTGCGGGGCCCCTGCGGGAACAGAGCCCGGCTCCGGGCCCGCCGCCCCCCGGCTGACCCCACTCCGCCCGGCTCCGGGCCTGCCGCCCCCCGGCTGACCCCACTCCGCCCGGCTCCGGGCCTGCCGCCCCCGGCTGACCCCACTCCGCCCGGCTCCGGGCCTGCTCCCGGTGGCACCCAACCCACCGTGCCAAATAGATGCAATTCATTCTGGGCCAAGAGAAACCCATGCGTAGCTGGCCGGCATTGGGATTGTCCTGCGTTATGTCGCAGCGGTTGGAGTCGGCTGAAGGGCAGGAGTGCGTCCCCCAGCTCTCTGCTGAGGGTCTGGTACTCCCAGCCTGTTCTTGGTGACATTCTCCATCCTGATGCAGTCAGCGTTGTGTTGTGTGAATTGGTCGGGATGTCAAATGCCATGCCCTCCAATTCATCCATTTTACTCCGGGGATGACGACGGCACAACTCCTTTGCCTTCAGTGGACCAGCATAAAATTGGAATAACCCAGGGACGTTTAATGCCTTGTAGCCTTCTTGACTAAGTGTGAAAGCTCAGTCTGCAGTATTTTAGCCTACTAGAGCTTTGGAGGCTATTCTAATGCCAAAACCAGCCTTTCTTCTCAGCAACTTGTATCACTCAGTCTGTTTTAAACTACGGGAAAATTTTATCCATGTTTGTAAACCAAATTGCCAACCCTTCTTGTTAACCTAAGTTGTACCAGCCTGGCCTTTCAGTTGAATGGAGGTGCTTCATATAATGAGAAATTCCTGGCTGTTAAGCTCTACTTAGATCAAAACTAGGAAAGATAATTTCCAAAAAAATTAAGCATATCTTCAGTTTGCCATTATTTGTAGGCATGTTGTGTCATTAGTGTAACCCAAGAAATTACAATATTTCACAATGGGAAGGCAATATTTCTGTCAGTGACTGCTTTTTCATCTCTCAACCAGGAGGCAGATCACTATGTTTTGTGTCAACTGCACAGAAACACCAAAGAGACATTCTGTAACTGTTTCCATAAATCACAGATATATATAGGTATAAATACAAATATATATTTCATTCCAAATCTTTTGTTGTTTGAATTGGCCACAGTTGCTGGAGTTAAATTATAAGCATGGCTGTATTTTTGAACTTCACATAAATTATTTACTCTCTACTCTCTAAAACCAGCGTTTTGAATTTTATTTACTTAGAGTTGTTTATCTGTCTTTCGTACTAGCAACAGATTAACCATAGTCAGTTCTACCACTGCATTACTGCAGTACAGCATTAATTGTATCATGAGCTCACTTTATATTTATAAAGAGAAGAGACTTCAACAGGATCTACCTGATATCTTCTAGTCTCTGAAGAATTTGTCTTTTCAACACTTGTGCTGTAATTAATCTGGAAACTTGAGGGAAAAGTTTTCACATTACTTACAAAAGGTGTTTTGGTTCTTAAACTTCTCAACAAAATTAAATAAAACACAGCCCTACTTACTAATATCACCTAATGTCAGTTTTTAAGTGTCACTGTGACACCATTTATTTTAGCAATAAAGTCATATTTGCTGTATTAGAGTAAAATCCCATAAACACATGCCCTAAATAGGAGCAAATAGTGAACTACAGAACACCAACTTCAGCTTTCAAACCGTTCACTGTTAGCTAATGAATGCCTGCTTCTCCTGACAATTTTTAGAGTACATACCACAGAAGGCTGGGATACAGAAATGCCTGGTCAACAGCCCAAAAAGACAGGTTACGCCAATTCTAAACTAGGGAATCCCCTTAGCAAGAGCTACCAATGTGTTTCTTATCTTTAAAAACAGTTTCTAATGCTTAAATGTGTCTTCTGTTATGTTGCAGGAGGCCAGATGTGGATATATCATCATTATCATGGCTGTGTACTGGTGCACTGAAGTGATCCCCCTGGCTGTCACTGCTCTCATGCCAGTGGTATTTTTCCCTCTGCTTGGAGTTCAGACCTCTAAAAAAGTAAGGAACCTGTGCAGTCCAGGTCTAATACAGAGAAATCCAGTGCCTTGATCCCTCATCAATATTTAGCCAACAAGTCTCTACTAGTGTTCGGGGTTCTTATATGGGAAGATGCTGAACTACATACACATTTGCCCAGACTGTTAACACTGCGGGGCTTGAGGTGGTACAGGGGAGGGTCTGTTTTGGACATGGATCCTGCTGGAGAGCATCCCAATAGTGCCAGCAGTTTGTGTGTTCCCAGCCACAAAGAGAAAGAGAAAGTAGAGCTGACAGTCTTCTGGGAGACCTCAAAATGCATGGGACAAACTTGTGAGAGGAGAGCTGGCATGGTGCTGGCAGGTGTGCTGTGTCCTCCCAGATCTCTGCCTGTGCTGTCTGTGCTGGAGGCACAAGGCACAGGCTGTGTTCAGGTTCTGTAGCCCAGGTTCACTATTGCCCAACAAGCTGGTAAAGACAGGTTGCTCATGGTACTGAGAAAGCCCTTTTGGAGCTCAGTATTTCCAGCACCTCCCATACTTTGAACCCCCAGCTGCATTTTAGGAAACTGGTGTAATTTTGATTGCAATGATGCACAAAGAGCTCCTGCACAGGCAAGTCAGCAGTTAGACAGGAGATCAAGGGTTCAGGAAACTGCAGAGAGCTCACAGGCAGCAGCTGCCTCGTGTTCCAGTGTTGGCTGGGGTCTGGTCCAGTCCATGGATTTGAGAGGGTGGTAGTCAAATTGTGCTAGTGAAGCAAGTATTTTGGCCTGACTTACCTTCTCTGTCTTACAGGTGTGCTTGCAGTACCTAAATAGCACAAACATGCTCTTCTTTGGAGGGCTGATTGTTGCAATTTCTGTTGAGCAGTGGAATCTTCACAAAAGGATTGCACTGAGGGTCCTTCTGATTCTTGGGGTGAAACCTGCACTGTAAGAGTATTACATTGTTTTTTTCTTACCTCTTGTTAGTTTAGCAAAGCCTAGGGATGATATTTAACAGTCAGCAGAGAAAGGATCCTTCAAGAGCCAGTTTAGCTGTACTTGCACAGAGTGTCCAGAAATGAAGTCTAGCAACAGGAGCAGTTTATTTGTACTTTATCCAAAACTAGCATCTGACTAAATTTTAAAGGCTTGCCATTGGGGACAAAATTATGACAGTCTTGATTGTGCCCCGGGATTCCTTCAGTGAACATGGCAGAGCTTTCCTAGAAGGGAGTCTGTCCCTGCTCTGTACTAGTGGCTGCACACATCCCTGCCTGGGCTTTGCTCTCCAAATTATAGTGACTACAAAGCCTAGCAGCATCTGTTCTCTTTCTTCCTCTCTCCTCTGTGTCTTTCTCTGTTTTCAGCCTGATGCTGGGATTTATGACAGTCACTGCCTTCCTGTCAATGTGGATAAGCAACACAGCCACCACGGCCATGATGGTTCCCATTGTCCAGGCTGTCCTGGATCAACTGGACAGCACAGAGCATGATGTGACCATGGCGGAACAAGCAACCGGGCAAACAAATACAGTGATTGAGCTGGAGGAAAAGAACACATCAGAGTCCACTGCAGTGCCTGGTGAGGGCCTGCTCACCAATAAACTCATGCTACTGAACTTGCTATACTCAGCTCCCCACCCTAGGTGCTGTGTATCCTTTCCAAGGAAAGAGGATGGTAACCTGCCTGAAATCCTGTAAATATATGACATTTAGGTTTTACAAAATAGCTTTCAATTTTGATGGCTGCCATTTTGTATCCTAATGCTACAACCCAGACAGGTTTTTATGTTCTTTCCTTCGAGCTGGAGTCATCCTCCCAGTTTCCCTAGACTTAACCGCCTGTTTAGGAAAGTGAAGAGCATATCCTGTGGGAAATAACCATCCAAACCCCCAGCATCCCACTTTCTAAATCTTGTGATTATCAGTGGGGATTCAGCTTCTAGGCCATGTAGGACTATTTGAAAAAATTATGTAAACACAATATATTTTGGTTATAGGGTAATAAATATCTCTTTATTGACCAGATAGTATGTGGAGGTGGGGAGAAGAAAGAGGACTACTTTAAAAGCCACATGGAAAAGAGGAACTGGTGTAATTTGACTCACAGTAAACAAACTGTTCTTGTGTGTGATCTTACCCAGATGCTTGATTCCTCAAGGTCCTCTGCCACTGATGTGGTTCTACAATAGGTTTCCCTTCATTTTAAATATGTGCACAAACTCAGACTCTCTCATTTCAGTGCTCTGCTGTGCTGTTACACAGGGCTATATTATTAAATATGATGATCAGATTCCAAGTGTAGTGAAGATAATAAGAGTGTGCAAAAAATACCCTTTGATATTGTTGAGTTGGTTGCAATTGCCATAAATTCTTTGTCCTGCTTCATTAGTCCAGTCAGACTCCAAGATTAGAGTGTTAACCTCAGAGAACAATGGACACAGCAGTAAAGTTTCGTGGTTATTGTAAATTGACATAATGCCAAGCAAGGATTTGGGTTTCAGAGGTTTTTTTTTTTTCTTGCCTGTATTCACATCTGTTAAAGCTAGTTGGGTTCTCACTGTGGAATTGGAATGGTTTCAGTGACTACAATATTTGGCTGGTGGTAAGCCTCTCTGTGAAACAAGACATTACTGAAGAGGAGTGGCATTGATGTGGGCAACAGCATCCTTGGATCATGTAAACCCAGTCTGTCATCCTCTTTCTTCTGCTCCTCATGAACATTATTCTGAAGTGTTTAGGGAGATATCTGTGGGTTTTTTTAATTGAAATAAATGGCACAACAAACTGGAAGCACTAAGCCTACAGACCCTATCCTGAGCTCTCTGCCTTTTCAACTTTACCTGAGGCAAATCATTTTCTTTCTGTCTAGATGTAAGCAATGAACAAGTCACTGATGTCCCCAGATCTTCTGAGGAAAAGAAAAGGAGGAAGCTTATATGCAAGGGAATGACACTTTGTGTATGCTATGCTGCCAGCATTGGAGGAACTGCAACACTTACTGGAACAGGACCAAATGTGGTACTGAAAGGCCAGATGAATCAGTAAGTAATTTTTGCTGCTTCTTTTAGTTACACTGTCATACTGTTTGTGTGACCAGTCAGTCTTAGATGACAATTTCTGTTGTGAACTTCAAGCAATTAGTTGAGGAACTGACACTGAGAAATGTGTATGAAGTGTTGGGCCTAATTTTTTTTACTTCAGCATCTTTTAATAGGAAGCTAAGGATGGAATTAAGGTCTTCTGAAAAAATTGGAAATACTTGTTGACAATCAGCATGCAAGTGGTTGATTATGAGATATTGGTTCTTCTGTGTCCTCTTTTTCAACTGAAATGCAGCACATCCAGAAGAGGAACTGCAGTAAAGAGCACCAGAAGAATGTAGATTAACTCTACTCATAAGCACACTGAAGAGAGCTAGAAGGAACTTGGCCCCTCCTGTAACACTGTTCCTCCATGCTGTGGCTGTGGAAACTGCAGTTGTGTTCTGTCATTGCTAAACTGAGGTTGGGAACTGATCTACATGGAACCCAATCTGCAGTGGAAATTTTTCCAACATTACTTCCTTGTGTTGCAAGTACTCAGCCTTAGCTGCTACATTATCTCTTGGTTTTAACACCCATCTGGAAGTTTGCTATTGATATTTTTCCTCCAATCATTATTGGCAAGCACAGAGAATAACAAAAATTGCCTTTCTTAAAACACTGTCTTCATTCTTTCAAGCCAACTAGCAACTTTTTCATCTGTTGAAGGCAGCAGAAGTATAGGTATTAATTTCAGGGAAGACATTTCTTGCTCTCTTACTAGAATGAGTTGGGAGGAAGAAAAAAAATATCCTTTCTTGGGATAAATGAACAGGCATGTTAGAAGTGGAAGGTGTCTAGAATGAATGAGAGATCTTTCAGCCACACTTGTCTGACTGAGACCTAAAGTATCAACATAAGCTCCTACATGCATCAAATCAAAACACAGTGGAAGCTGACAATCGTTTAAGTTCTGCTCTGAAATCAGGCTGCCTTCTACCATGGCTTAAATTAGGCTGTGGAGGTTACCTATGATTGCTTGTAATGGTTGTCCTACATTTACATGCATAATTGTCACTAGCACATATTAAAGGGAGACTAGATTGCTAAATGTTTTGACATTCATACAGAAAATCATTTCTTTACAGGTTATACCCCGACAGTAATGATATTGTGGACTTTGCTTCCTGGTTTGGATTTGCATTCCCAAACATGGTCCTGATGTTGGTGCTAGCTTGGCTTTGGTTACAGTGCTCCTTCATGGGACTTAAGTGAGTATTTATCTACATGATATTGTGTAAACCCCTCAGTAAGTTAGTGCAGATCAGCTTACTGAGACATCTAGCTAAAACAAATGCAGTGACAAGTTATTAATTTTGTAGCAGACAGCAGATCTATTTCACAAAAATTTTGAGGTCTGGAAGCCTTTTGTGTTCATGGGAGGTATATTAAGGCAAAAGCCATATACATTCTTAATCTTCAGACAGAATTGCCTTTTTATTTTTCAATCTTTCGCCTGTGAATTTCAGCCCCAGGAGAGCTGGCATAGCTGGTTTGCAGCCATTGATTCAAACCTGACTTTTTCATCCTGGGTTACTCCAAATTGCCATCCTTTGATAGACCACATTCTTATGTGAGAGCTGGTGTGTCCCCACAAAATACTTTGGCACTGTTGTAGTTTCTTTATTTATGGCCTCTGTTGTGGTCTGTGTCTGTCCCCAAGAGGGGCAGCTGCAGAGTGATAAGGATGTTAGATCCCTCTAATACATTCGTACTTACAGTATTTTTTTCTCCATTTTTTCAAAGCTTAAAAAAAAACTGGGGCTTTGGGACAGAGAAAACTGCCAAAGAAAAAGCTGCATACAGTGTGCTGAGGGCAGAAATGAAGAAGTTAGGCCCTATGTCTTATGCTGAATTGAATGTCCTCCTTTTGTTTGTATTGCTGGTGGTCTTGTGGTTTTCCAGAAACCCAGGCTTTATAAAAGGCTGGGCTTCCATACTCTTCAAAGGAGGAGAAAAGTAAGTATTTAAGTTTTTTTCCATCTTTTACCCACTTGGTTATTAATCAGATTCCCTTGCTTATACATTCCATTTTGAATGTGGGGTCATTAATTCCAACTTTACCTGACTTCACATGTTTGCTGGGGTTGATCCAATGGCTTGTACATGACACTACCAATCATCTGTGATTTGACAGTTTGTGCTGCAGTGAAAAGGCTGGAGACTGAGACATGGAGCAAGCTGAACTTTCTAAAAGAAGAGAAAATTCTGTAATGTTTGTCTCAGTCACACTGACATACACCTTGGTATTTTGTTTGTATGAGCTCCAATCAGTTGCAGTGACATTTGAATATTTGGTAATATCACCTTTAACCGATGCCTTAGAACTCACTAGAAATTTGATTTTGTGCTTTGAATGGCTTCTTTGCATTGTGTTCATGCATGGCATGTTAGGAATATAGAATACATATTGGGACTGTCATTCAGGCCGTTTCTTTAGATGTCTGTCTTTGAGATACAACTGTTGAATCTTGGCTTCAGCACAGAGAAAGAACCCTGCTCCAGGAGGGATGAGTTGTCATCCAGGACTCTATTTATTAATGTGTATTGTAGCTTGTTTCTTTTATTATTGTGTTTAAATTATGGCAGGTCTGAGAGACTTCAGACATGAGCTAATGACCCATTTTGCTCAAGCCCCAAATGGGATGGCAAAGATCAGTGACTAGAATGTTGGAAGGCAGCCCTTTTCTAGGAGAAAGGTGTCCATTTTCCAACCTGTATTCTCTTTTCTTCATTAGGTATATCACTGATTCTGTTCCTGCTATGTTTATTGCCCTGTTACTGTTTATCCTTCCTGCTCATAAGCCCCAATGCACAGCCTGGAATCCAAGCATGTCTGACCCTGAACAGACTGAAAAAGGTATTTAAAGGAGGGACTGTAGTACTGTGAAACATCGAACCCATTCAGCTAGCAAGGCAGAAACATGCACTGGATTTGCATGCAGACCTATAGAGCATCTCACCTACCTCCCTTGTTGGGCAGGGCTGGGGCACAGCCCATGTCCATGTGTGTTACCCTCACCCTGTGCAGATTTCTCAGTACTGGGCATCTGCCCACTGGTATCTTACAGAACAAAAGACAAAGTGTCTTTGCTCTCCTAAAACATGTTCTACTTTTTATTTCTCACTTCAGATAAGAAAAAGTCATTTTTACCAACCCCGCTGCTAGACTGGAATGTGGTTCAAAGGAAGATGCCCTGGAGCATTGTGCTGCTGCTGGGAGGAGGTTTTGCTTTGGCTGATGCAAGCGCAGTATGTCCTGACATCTGTTTTTCTCTGACTCAAAGGCAAACTTCTCTGGTTTGTTATCTAGTCCTGTATTACTGGGCATGCACCCAAAGCCAAACCCAGTAGCAAACTTCAGATCTGAAGGGAGATCTAAATTAGCAAAAACCAAGGAGAGGTGAATGCTTGTGAGTCTTCTTCAGGAATTTTTGTTCTCTAAAGTTTCTTTGATTTATCTTACCTTTTGGAGACTCCTGAGTAGGTTGGGATCTCCGTTGTCTGGACAGTCCAGAAAAGTATCCTTTCTTATTTCTGTAATCATCCCAATCCCAGCCCTGGCTAGAAACGTAGAAGTATAGATAGCACTTGTCAGATTTTCAGAACCATTTGAGGTTTGTTTGAGGGTTATATATCTTCAGACTTAAAGCAAAACCACTACTGAAGTGGTCAGAAAGAAAATCCTGGGTTGATGCTGTGTTCATAAATTCACGGAAAAGACAGCTAAATTCCCAAAACAGGAAGGAATCTTGAAGTGAACCATATTGTTTCTTTCATCACTGCTAAGATGCATCTAAATCAAAGCAAGGATTAGCTATCAGTAGTGCGATATTTTGGGGAAAGTCATGTTCACATCTAAGTTTTGTGGCTAATTAGGTTTAAACCATGGGGCAAGTTAAAGCTTTGGCCCTGACATTCATCTACATACAACACACATAGATTATTAAAGCTCCAGAGCATTAAAAACTATCAAGTCAGAGATTTTGTGACCAGTTTGTATCAACTGCTGCCTGTGTTCCTACAATGGAGCATTCACACAGAATGATAACCTTCAGAAACCTTAGAAAAATTTGCCAAGAAGCTTCTGGGCCAGACATTAAGTATTTGCAATGATCTCAGAAAAAATTTTCTTGTTCAGCAAGAAAACCATAACTTTGTAACCTGTGTGTGAGCAAGTATTTGGCTTCCAGAAGAATCAGAAAAGTGGGATTCAGTGTTATGTCTAGTTGGTGAGGAATTTTTTTTTTTTTTAGTTTTTGTGACAGATAATTGTACTTTCCTGGATGGTGTTTGTATAATTCAGGACACCTTTAGTATTATTTGTCAGGAATGTTGCCCATAACATGGCTTCCCTGTTTGTGAGTCAGGGGTTCTAAACCTCACTGAAACCCACTTTCTTTCTTGCAGAACTCTGGGCTCTCATCTTGGATGGGTCGTCAGATGGCTCCACTGGGATCTATCCCACCATGGGCCATTGCATCAGTGATCTCCATTATTACAGCTGTCTTCACTGAATGCACCAGTAACGTGGCCACAGCTACCCTCTTCCTGCCTGTCTTTTCATCCTTGGTAAGACTGCTTCTCTGCTGTTACCCTGTCAGCTGGAGGATCAGAGTTAAACTGGGTGGCAAAGCAATATTATAATTATTGTCTTGGGTGTTGCTCCAGTGTACTGAAAAGGAAGCCAGGTCATGCCTTCTGTAAGGTGTGTGCCTTGGCCCTGGAGAGGGTGAAGTGACAGTCACTTTTTCAATACAGTTCAGCAAACGTCACTTACTTCTGGTCATTTTGAACCATCAACTTGGAACTGGAAAACCACACACACACAAAACCCAAACCAAAACAAAATCCAGGTGGTAGGCCTGATTATTAGGAATGTGTAATTTCTCATAGGAACCCAGAACAATTCTAAAACTGGATGGAAGGAAAACCTGATAAGTTTTGCTGCCTTTTCTGAGCAGAATCAAAACTGTGGCATAAAGAGAAAAATAGATTACTTTGTTCTTTAATTAGAAAAGGACAAACACTTTATTCTAGAATATTTCCTCAAAGCAAAGTTACCCCAATGAAGATACTGAGCTATTAATGACTTAAACTGGCACTTAAGTTTTGAGTGCCACAGAGTTTATGTAAAGTCTAAGAGTGTCACTCCACATGCCTAGTAATTATAATTCCCATTCCTGGGAAAAGGGTGGTCCAAGGTCAAAGAAAAGATTGTGGGATATATTTGACCAGAAATCTAAATTATACCATAGAGCTAAACAAAGAACATGAAAGAATCAAGCCTTGTTTTAAGTATCATTGGAGAGGAAACAAGAGCAAGTTATCTTTAAGCATTTGTGGATTTCAGAATAAAATGTTTGTGAATTATTTTGATGATGTAATACAAAGAAACAAAATAAGTCTATGTATCTCATTGGTCTGGGGTAGATTGATCCTTTATGCTTTTCTTTTCAAACACCCCCAGAGTGATGTTCTCTCCATTTCATTGCAGGCTGAATCTATCAGGGTCCACCCTTTGTATGTTATGCTGCCTGGTACTCTCAGTGCTTCATTTGCCTTCATGCTACCTGTTGCAACACCACCAAATGCAATAGTGTTTTCTTATGGTCACATCCATGTTTTGGATATGGTAAGATAATTGCCTTCTCTTTTTATCTGAAATTCTCCATTGCTTTCTTCCTGAAATATGGTGAGAGTTTAATTTTCTTTGCAGAGTATTTCCAAAGTACCAGGAATCTCTTATGGGCTGCAACTGCAACTCCATGCCACTCTCTTCTGCAGCATTAATACTGTGATAAAGACTTGCATCTCTGAAGTAACAGTACTTCTCTCATGAGCTTTGGCAGACATACAGATTGGCCCAAGTGAAATGAAAAACTGACAAGTCATAAGTCTCTGAAATCTGAAGGGTTAAAGTCCAGGCATGCCCTGCAGTGTTCTGGGGCTTTGGCGAGTGTCTAAAGCCTTGTCTCCGCTGGAGCTGAAAGCAGAAGGTAGCAATCAGTAGCCCTTGGCTCTGGTCCTCTGATTTTCTGCCAGACCACACAGGGCAGATTCTGGGCAGAACACACAAACATTACTGGTTTTCTAACTGGGTACTTGAGGAGGACATAAGCTGTTCTCTAACTAATAAGAACGACATGTTACACATGCTTTAAAGCTCCTCAACTGGTTATATACATAGCAAAGTGCTCAAAGACTTTGCACAGTGTGTTCCCTGGTGTCTCCACCTAAGCAAGAGCAGAAGGCAGTGGATACAGTGGCTATTTCTGTGATTTATTTCACTGTCTTGTGTATGTACAAGTAGGTCTTGCTGCAGTTTGCTGTGCTGGTGTTTGGGTGTTGCTGGTTTGGACTTGCTGTGCTGGTGTGTGTTTATTGTTCTTGGTTTGGATTTTTTTCCTCACAGGTTAAAGCTGGAATAGTGATGAACATCATTGGAGTCTGCTGTGTCACACTGGCCATCAACACATGGGGAAGACCTATGTTTCAGCTGGACATATTCCCAGCCTGGGCAAACAGCACAAGTCACAGTGAGCTGTGAAGAATTCGTGTGTTGAACAAGGAAAGTACCCTCAGTACTCCCTATTGCCTAAAGTCCTGTATAAAGTCTCATCACCACTTCAGATCCAGTGTTGGGTGTTTGCTGCCTTCCAGCAGTCACACATCAGTTCAAGTTTGAACCAACCCAATCTTACTCCAGTTGTGCTGGAGCCAAAAGTGTTTGCAATTATACAACCTCTGTGTCAGAATCATAAGTATGTTTGAGTGATCCATTGTACCTCCAATCAAGGTCAAGGAGTAGGATTTATCAAACTTTCAATAAAGAGAGGGGAGGCTGTTGTATCAAATGGTTTGAACTATTATATCACTGGTATGTACTTGTAAATCCTTAGCAGTGAATATTGCACTGAGGCAGGGCTGAACATTCCTTACCTATTCCTTATAAGTCAGCAACTGTACACACAAATCCCTGTTGTCACTTGTCTAGTGAAGAAGGGGTACGTGATGTTATGCTGTGTTATGTTTTAGTTGTGCCTCAACCATGTGGTGAGATCCTTCCAAGTCAACATCCAACACACTTTCTCTTGCCTTGTTTTCACTCCCAAATCTCACTGCATTTAGACACCTTTATTGAGGGTTGAGATAATGTAATTCCATGATGGTCATGATTCAGCTGATATCTTGGACAACAATGCACTAAGGCTGGCTCTGTGTTTCTTGCACTGTGGCAGTTAGAGGGCAGGGAGCCTTTCCCTCAGTCACAGGTGTGATTTCACATGCTAACTAGTGTTTTCCTAGTGCCAGCCTGGAGATGACCAGTGGCCCTTGGGACTTCACATCTATTGCAGAAGTTCCTGAATTAGCCCCTGATGTGCCTTATTAATTAACTCTGGAATTTTAGAGTGAAGTCAAGACATGAGGAAGGCTCTAACTGATGACCTGGGAAAAATGTAGGGGCCCAGATTTTAGTGCTTGTGCACTTATCTTGGCTGACAGCAGTGGGAGTTGTCCTGTGTACTTTGGAATTCATGTATTGTGAGAAAAGTAGTTTGTAACCTAATTTGCCATTTCTGTTGCAGAAGTAGTCTACAGAATGATTGGTGTTGGGCTTGGGTGTATTTTGTCAGTGGTACATGGATGCTTTTTTTTCAGCCCTGGCAATGGAGGTGGGTGGGAGGTAAAGCAGTGTCTTACAGTGGAAAGATCTGTGGGTATGACCTGGGATTTGCTTCCAGACTTGACATGTATCCCCATGCAAGTCAGTTCACCTCTTTGTGCTTATTTCCCCTCCTAAAGATGTTATGGAACCTATCTACCTCGCCAAAATGTTGTGAGGACATTAGGGTAAAATTCTGCAGCCATAGTGATTTCCCACCTCATGATAATGGGTGCAAGGAGTTAGGTTATAGAATTAAAGGATTCTGTGTAGAAGATCTGGCATATAGCATAGTATTGTGTTTAGGATATTCAGTAGTTTTATTGTTAATGTGAATTTTCTTTACGGAACTGGAAAAACACATTTTTATCTAGAAGTGCGGAAATATTTATCCACAAAATGACCAGGTGCTTTTTTGAGCAGAAAACTGCTTCAAGAATTTATTTATCTTTATGCCTTTATCTTTTATGCTCTTTCATGGTGGTAAGCACCATAAAGTGTCCGCTGAATGTTGTTCCCAAGAGCCACCAATGGCTCCCTGTCTTCCCAGCTGGCTGAATGTGGTGCAGCCTCACACTTCTTCCAGGGAATGGTGGAGCATGTGGATAAAGACACTTCCACTGGCAGAGTCTGTCTAAGGAAGAGGCCAGTTCTAGTGCCAAGAATTGGCAAATGAGATATTGCTCACAGATATTTGTAGTCACCTGAAACTTATGACGGTATTTTTTTGAAGAAAGTGAAACCAGGAACAGCTGAGCGCGTTCTGTCCTTTGGCAGTCACCACTTAATGCTGATTTGCATCTCTAGATATCTAAATGCATTTGAGAAAGGGACTTTCTCTGCTTTCTGATGGACTTCACAGTGTGAGAACATGTTGCTTTTACCACATACAATGGTGTTTGCTCTGCTCTGTCTGACAAGTAAGATACAGGGGAGCTTGCATGGGTAGATGATGCTGAGCTTGGCTATCTCAGTTCATGCAGACTGAAACTCCTCTAAAACCAGCTCCAGCTAAAAGCTGTAGGACAGACACTTCACTGTCCTGTTTGCAGAAAAGAATCTTCTGAAAGTTTCTTGAAGGGGAGAGATTGCCCTTACCTCAGCTAGTGAAGAGCTTCACTCTGTTGCTGGACAAGAAGGAAGCAAATGCTATTTTCATCAATAGTCACACAGGGTGATTCATGGTCAGGAGTGCTGCGCCAGGGAAGTGTGCATGTGGGGTAATAAAGAGTGTTGAGTTTATTGTAACTGTGAACTATTGGATGTGTCACCTCTCTGTACCCTTAATAGCAGTTTCTTTTTGAGACACTTTTATGGCATCCTGTGATTGATTCATATTTAAATGGGTGGGTTGCAAAATTATAGCCTGGCAAATGAAACTTTCTAGAACTGTCTCCCCTCCTGTGTAACACAGTGGACCACTTGTTTCTGCATTAGTTTCCACTGTAGCACAGTGGTGCCCCAGTGAGATCCAGGAAGGTAGACGCAGTAGTGAATAATGCAAAGCAGAGATTTGGACACCACCTTGAAGTGTCTTCAGACCTGAATATGAGTGGTTTCTCTTCTTTCATCAGCTAAGTCACAATTCAAGTTTGTATCTCTGAAGATGTTTAGGTGGGACCAAATCAGGTGGCATACCCTACGAGCTGTCTCATTCATTTGAGAGTAAAGGATTATAAGACTCTAAGAAACACAACCGGTTTTTAAGAATTAATATTGTATAAACTTCCCAGTATAACAGGCACAAATGGGCTTTTCTTCAGCAGAAAGCATGGATGGTGTCCTGTTCCAGTGCCCTGAGTAAATACACATTACTTGCAGTGGACAGTGCAAGAACGATTGCTTTGTGACTAGATCTGGTTTACAGCTCCTTCAGCTGCAGGACAAGTATCATAGAAATTTATCAGACATAGCAATTGTTTTGTTGCTCATCAAAGGAATATTGCTTTAGATGCAGAAGTTGTGACGGTCCTAAGGTGGTGACATAAAAGAATCCATTTTCCACCCACTTTCAAACACGCACCCCCAGCACCCACAAAAACCTTGGGAGGATCCTCAGTGTGGGCTTTGTCAGCCCAGCTCAGGATGAGTTATTCAGCCACCCTGAGTGAGCAAACAGTTCCCATTTTACCATAGGAGGGCAGAGCATGATTCCTTGTGGTCAGTGAGTCTGTCAGCTGGCCAGCTGGCAGTGCTGCTTCTAAGGAGCTAAATTAATGCTTTCTTATTTTCTGCCCACTTTCTATGTATCCTTGGCTTTTCCTTTCTTCTCTCAAAATACCACTTTACCAAAATATCAAGTTGCTAATGCTGTTTCTGCAAATATTGAGTGTCCCAAACCTGCAGCATTGTGATCTGGGCTGCTGTTGCACAGGGTTCCTGCTTGGTCATGTACCAGTGTGCAAACCTGTTCCCACAGTGCTTGGGAATGGTCTCACAACTGTGAATGAGTTCATGAACTACCAAACTACAAGAAAACATACAAAGGGAGAACAAAGGTATTTCCTGCCCATGTGTTGAACCTCTAGATCTGTGAAATAGAGAAGAAAAACCTTTCAGCATTCTCTACACGATCAGAAGTCCCCAGTCTGAACAGTGGTTCAGAGTTGTTGGTGTCATCCACTGAGTTCAGAGCAGCAAGTAGTGCATTCCAGCTGAGTTCTGCTCTCTCTTGAACTCAGTGTTTGGCTTATTCAACCTTTGTTTTCCAGCTCAGGTGTGTTGCCACTTGAAATAGCAATAACGTGGTTGTAGCCAAACCCAACATCTTCTGACAAAGTTGGAATAGGATAGTTGGTGAAAATCGGCCCAGAAAAAGAAATAAATCATTCAATCTGTCCTAGCCAAAATGCAGTAGTGGTTCCTTAACATACCACCTCTTCCTTTTTAGTAGTGACATATTGTATACATTTTTACATACTTCACATCTTTGTTTTCCCCCAAGTGTCTGTGCTAAATATGTGAAGAGGTGGGTGGCAATGAATCCTGAGCCCTTGGATCAGGTGACAGAGTTTTCACAATGTTTTCCAGTGTGGGTGAATAAATATGTGACTTTAGACAAGTCTGATCAATCACTTTGTGCCACTGAGAGGTTTTCAACACTTCTATGCCTTGCACCACAAGGCCACCAGTCTGCTGCAAGACTTAGGCTCAGCATTTGTCTGCGTGGTTGAATGGCAGGGTGCTGATTCTCCTCTGCCCAGAAGAGCCATCCCAGTGGCAGCTCCTCAGTGTCAGATCAGACCTTCCTTCCCCTTTGTGTATCTTTGCTTGCCATGCACTGCAGACTGCCTCTGCTTGGCACAGAAACCCACAGCCCTCACCTTTGGGAGCACAGAGTAAAGGCAGGCATGCCATGCTGCCCTGAGGTGATTGGGGACTGCTTAATATAATGTTTGGTAGTTCTTTAAAAATAGAGCTGACTATACTGAAGCTATTTTTGCCCATTTAGGTTTTTCTCGAGCACTTAGTCAATAGCTGCCCGGTTATTATGGTGTAAATGTAGATTTACATTTACTGTAGATTCTGGCCATAAGGAGGAGACTGTTTCTTCTGTCAGAAAAGAGATGTTATCCTTCCCGAGTTTACTTCAGTGCTTTATTTACCCACACAAAATTATTTCCAGTCTTATTTGGCACATGGCACTTCAATGAGTTTTCATAAGCTGTTTCAGCCAGAGTGTGAGCCTCATTAAAATGTTCATAAAACTTTTTTTTTTATAGACAAACCATTTTCTTGAAAGAACTGAATGTTCCAGATACTAAATCTAATTTATCATCATTTTCTTTGTGAGATATTCTTGAGAACAATAACTTGGGTTGGGTCTTAGCAAATGTTTTAGAAAGCCAGCTGAAGATCAAATTTCCACCAGAATCAAAGTTAACACAACCTTTCAATTAAGGAGTTATTATTCTGCAGGAAATTTCTATTTTACATCAATATTTTGCCTTGGCTATACGGTCAGAAATCAGAAACATAGGAATGTATATTGCTCCTGCCAAATGGCTGACTTCAAATTCACCTGCTGTCCAGGTGTCCTAATAGAAGCCCTCAGATATTTTTAACCAACTTATTAATGAAAAACATAAAATGCTTTCTGACACATGACATTTAATCTTGAATATATCTTTGAATTCTAGTGTTTGTCTGAAGCTGGAGGAGTACCAGAGTTACAGAAGTACATGTGCCAGTGCCTGCAATACACCAGTCTCTTTACACTATTTCATCCAATTTGCAGCTTGCTTGAATGGTATTTGGCATCTGTGGAAGAAGTGGTTCCACCATGACTGTTATTGGCTGCCTTCTGAAATGCACATTACCTGCCAGTTTCTTGACCTCAAAAAAGAGAACTTCGTGAAGAGTTAAGCCTTTAATTATATGTGTCCTGACAATTGTTTTAGTCACTGAAAACTATGATTTTGTTTCTATTGAATTACAATTATAGCATTGGAGTAAAAAAATTGCAGACTTTGTGCTGGCTTGTTATATATATAACATAATGCATACTCTGCTCTCTGTTATTTAACCATATTGGAAGCAGGATGCTCTCCAGTCTACAGGAGCTGTCTTGCATTCTGTGGGTAAAATCCTGTCAAATGTCCATGTTAGTATCAGTTTGCATGCTGCCCCAAAGCAGTGGGTAAATGGTGAACAGGAGGGGATGTCTTGGGTTTCATGCACTGGTGTGACACACGTCCCTGTTTCATCTCACCTGATCAGTTTTCAGTGATGAAATTGCTGGACCTTTTTTATCTCTGGAGCAAATGCACTGCACTGTGGTGTCACAGAGGAATCTTTTGCAGCATTGCTTCCTCAGTGTCCACCTTCAATATTCAACAGCATGCCAGATGAGGCTCTATTTTCTCTTGTGTCTCATAAAACCTTGGTGGCTTCAGGTCCCAGAAGTGGCTCCATTTGAGAGCTGTGTCTCTGTGCCAGTTCTAATGAGCTAAGATAAACTTATTGTCCTAAACCATCCCATTTCTGGGCAGGCAACAGCAACGATAGCAGTCTAGTCTCTACGAAACGAGAAACTGAGGCAGCAATGTCATCCTGGTTCTGTGACAATAAGACAAATTTCTGGCTCATATTTATATTAACACATGAACTGCAGGTTTGGCTCACCCGACATTTAAAAACGAAACTTTTCTTAGACAATGTTCTCATATATAAAATCCTTTATACTATAAAATCTCATGTACTAAAATCCTGATTTTCAATTTTGTTCCTAATTTTGGTGGACAAGAATTGAGATGTTTGACTTAACTTGGGCAAACCTACATAATAATTTATTTTTGTGACCAATCTTTTTTTAGGATTCTCTCCTCTGAAGTCATTCTTGGGAGAGAAATCCTGTTCTAGAATAGGAATACAGACACGTGGGATCTATTTGATCTCTTCTTTTAGCTCTAAGTCTGTGTTTACTGGGGAGTGACTTGTTATGTTTTGATATAGTAATAGTAGTATTCCACAACCACTAAAATGTTGCCTAAGAAAGCAACCTTTTTTTAATTAAGAAAAAACTGTGCACAGATCCTTTTTATATGGTTTTTGTAATTCAATTCCCAGGGAAAAAAAATTCATACTGCATAGGAAAATATAGTATTATAGAAAATTGCTATGTTGGATGCCAAAAATACTTCAACAAATGGAAATTAAAAATAATTAAACAACAAAAAAAGGGAGAAATTAGAAGGGTTTTGGGTAAGTCTGTAGAAATTGCTTCCACTGCTGCTGCTCACTCATGGAACATTTACTTAATAATGGTTTTACTCTGAGACAACTGTGTTTTAATTAATGAAGAATTAAATGCAGAGGCTGACAAAAATCTCCTTGGCTGACTGAAAAGTCACTATGAAAAACAAACAAACAAAACCCCCGCAAAGCTTCAGACTTTGTCCAATTCCAATATTTACCATTAACCTTTAAATACAGTTTAGTATTTTTGGGTTGATTCTGTCCACTTCCTTTTGCTCTGGAAGTGATGAACAGCGGCTTTGTCTAGTACAAAGCTAAAATCAATGTTCTGCAGTCACAAACGAAAGTTCATCTTCTTTTTATCCTTCCCAGCACCAGGGTTATCTGGGGAAAAAACACGCCTGGAGCACCGACCCCAAAGCAGCAGGCGGTGGCCGTGGGCCTGACTGGGGCAAACGGGCAGAGCAGCGCCCGTGCTCCCGCCAGGAGCGTTCGGGAGCCGGTGTGGCAGCAATGCCACTGAGCCTGCACGGGACCGCGGCACGGAGCGACCGGGCCGCTCCCCCCGGCCGGGGAAACCCGCAGCGCCGGAGCCGCCGCCGGACACAGCCAGCGCCCGTTGGGAAACACCCCGCTTCGTGCTCCAGCCACTCCCGCCTTCTTCGGGGTCTGCCGCGAGCTGCAGCAGAGCACGGCGAGAAGGGAGGCATTTGGACAGAGCCACGTTCAGCGTGCGGTTTATTCGGATACTGGGATCCCCGAATTCTCTTTCCAAGAGCAGCCGCTCGACACCCGGCGGCCGCAACGCAACCGGGGCCGCTCCCTCACGGGGGAGCCCCCCCGCACCGCCCCGCCTCCGCGCCGCCCCGCCTCCGCGCCGCCCCGCCTCCGCGCCCGTTGCTAGGCAACAGCTGCTGCGTTCCCAGAGTGCTTAGCGTTGCGTTTCGCCGCGCGGTCGGCAGGGGGCGCTCTTTGCTGTCGGGTGTGCGCGCCCCGGACATGGACGCAGGTGCGGGGCCGAGCGGGGCCGAGCGGGGCCTGTGGGAGCCTGTGGGGCCGGTGCGGGGCCGAGCGGGAGCCTGTGGGGCCGGTGCGGGGCCGTGCGGGAGCCTGTGGGAGCCTGTGGGGCGGTGCGGGCCGGTGCAGGGCCGAGCGGGAGCCTGTGGGGCCGGTGTGGGGCCGGTGCGGGGCCCGTGGGCCCCTGTCCGGGCTCCCCGCGCAGGCCGAGAGGGGCCCCTGTCGCCCGCCGCCCGCAGGCCTCTCCCGGGCCGGGCCGGGCCGTGCCGGGCCGGTCGCTGCCGTGGCCCTCGCCCACCCCGGCCCGCTTTGGTCCCGGTGACACAGCGACTGGGATTACTTTCCATCTCTTGTGTGCGTGCAATTCTTACTGTTTTTTTCTTGAATCAGATGATGCGGGAAATCGACTTCGATTCCAGTTGGAGCTGGAGTTTGTTCAATGTCTGGCAAATCCAAATTACCTCAACTGTGAGTACTTTAATAAATACCAGGACCCGGACGAGTTAATGTAGCGTAATGATGTTTATTGTTACTGGTAATTGCAGAGGGAGCTAAACAAAGAAAAGGGTTTTTCACAGCATAAAAGTAGTCTTCAATAATAATGATTCGTTTAACAGGTAGATTTTTTTTTTTAATACGAAGTCTTTTCTTGGTTGGAATGCAAAAAAAAAAGCACTTATTTGGTGGAGGAAGAAAATAACAAGTTCCAGTCTGTTATTAAGAAATAATATCAAATTAACAGCATTCCATTATCTGAACACAGAATTTTACTAATGTGAATAGTTTTAGGTACTATACATAACTCATTGCTAATTTTGATGCTACAGTCAAAATTTTCTTGATTCAAAAAGCTTTTCCATTCTATGAAAGATACAAACTGTAAGGGAGATGAGACCAATCTATAATTTTGTTGACATAAGAATCTTATTTTTCCCTGTGTTTTTTTATTTGCCAAATATAAATTACTGAAATTTGATTGTAATGAAAAAGTTTTGACTTTGTGATTTTTTTCAAGTGTGCTAATATTTTACACCCATCTGTAACTGTCAATTCCTTATTTGTCATTTTATTTCAGTTCTTGCACAAAGAGGCTACTTCAAAGATAAAGCTTTTGTAAATTATCTTAAATATTTACTTTATTGGAAAGAACCTGAATATGCAAAATACCTGAAGTAAGTGCTAAATTCCCTTAAGTTTCTGAATTTTAATGGTTTGGCATTGACCTAATTTTACACACTGGACAGCAGCATGTTAGGATTTCATTTCTGCCTGTAGTGTTACTTTTGTCCTCCCCACAACATAGATTATGCAAGATTATGGTTATATGCAAATGTGGATTTTCCTGTTTCCAGTAGTCCACATGTAGCAGCAATGGGCAAAATTATAAAAACTTCATGAGTTTTGCACAGAATCTTCCTTTAAAGCCTTAATTTGCACTTTCAGTGGGTTTAAAGTCAAACTATTGAACATTAGGGTAAAAAAGCAGTAAGTGCATTATAAGATCAGTTTTGCATTATTGTTGCTTACATGAGGCAAAGGGTGACTTTGTGTTTTTGCAAGTGTGCAAATTCCTTCAGTTTTTGGGAAAATGGTCATCTTTAATTGGGCTCTGCAAGCAGGCCTTGTAAAGCTGGATGGATGGATGGATGGATGGATGGATGGATGGATGGATGGATGGATGGATGGATGATGGATGGAGGGATGGATGGATGGGGATGTTGGGATGGATGGATGGATGGATGGATGGATGGATGGATGGATGGATGGATGGATGGATTTGGTCTATCAAATCAAGCCACTGGGGAAGATACTCTAAGCAGGAATGTGCATTTATTACTGGGATTGGATTCCTTGCTTCCTGGCCTGATGCTGCAGTTAGCAAGTCACAGTGTGCATGCTGAAGTGGTTTCACACTTGGGTAAAGACAGAGTCAAAGCTAACAACCCACAGGAGTACTGGAGACTCTAGATTTAGTGTCCCTTGTAAAAACCTGTATTAAAGTGTGTTTATTTTAACCCAGGTATCCTCAGTGTTTGCATATGCTAGAGCTGCTCCAGTATGAGCATTTCCGCAAAGAACTGGTCAATGCTCAGTGTGCCAAATTTATTGATGAGCAGCAGATCCTCCACTGGCAGCACTATTCCCGGAAAAGGATGCGCCTCCAGCAGGCACTGGCTGAGCAGCAGCAGCAAAACAACACCTCTGTAAAATGAAAAGCACACGGAGCAGTGATGATAAGGTGCACTTTGTGTTAGTGAAGTATTTACAGGAGATGAATGTTCGAACCCTTGTGCAAGTTTGGCTCTGGGTGTGTGTCCCTTTTATTTGAATTTATCAAGTGACTGGGGTTGGTTTTGTTTCATCAACTCTTTTAAAGACTAATAAATACCTGCAATTTATTTTATAGCATGGACAGTTTTGCAAGAGCTTTACTACAATAGTTATTGATTCCTCTTGATTTTGAAAACAAAATCTAGATTTGTTACTTACTATCTACAAGGAAGTGTAGCTGTAAAGGCTGTTCCTAGGAAGCCTTTTCCCTGGAGAATAATGATGTCTCTTCAAGTGTCACTGAGAACTCCCTGCTACTTACAGCTCTGGGACAAGCAAAGGTGAAGTGATGATAGACAAAGTCAAACTGTGCAGTTTTTCCTTGAAACCAAGCTGAGCTATTACTTGTCACTTCTGTTTCCCAGTCATTGCTGATGGAAGTTAGTTTTCCTTACAGCACGTTGTACAGATAGAAATCAGGAGTGTACAGGGTGAGGTCTGGGGTGCAGAGCAGAGAGAGGTGCTGATGGTAAACTCTGCAGCATAGAGAAGGAAACAAGCTGTAGCTGTCTCTGTTCTGTTAAACTCAGCTTCCTTGAATCTTGGCCTCTGCCCGTGCAGCAGTGGCTGCTCTGGAGTCTGTGTGGGGAAATGGGCCATTGCTTGGAGTACTGGAGAAGCACTTTATTCCTGTATAGTTTTTTATTCTAAGAACATAGCTCTTGGCAGCTGCCAGGGTTTTAATTTTCATATTTTCAGACTGTATTTCTGGTGCATTCCTGTTGTATTTCCTGTCCTTGTAGGAGCAGGTACTCCCTAACATGTCATCAGTGACACTACAGCTGCCAGCCGTCACATTATCACACTCGGAATGAACAGATAAGCCATTCAACATCTTTGGCATTGAGAATTTATCAGTAATTATGTGGTCAGGCTTAGGAAGGAGGTCTTTCTGTTTCTCCCCTTCCTCCTTACTCACTGTAACTTTGCAGTTACACTTCAGTAAGTGCAGGCTAATCTGCCTTTCAAACATGAGCTCAACTCCTCTGAAAAGAGGTTGTTCACAAACTCATTTATTTGGACATGAAAGATACATTTTTTCTTCTAAGATTTTAGTGTAAAGTTTGGACCCAGAATTTCAGGACATTTATCTTGATTTGTCCAAAGTAATTAATTATTAAAGTTTTAACAAAGTTCAGTGATTCCTTGAAAGGACAGTGCAGTAATTGAGACTACCACCTTCATCAATGATTGACTAGTGAGGGCTTCAGTCTTCAGTAAACAACATACGCACAAGCTCTGATTTAAAACATTCTTCTTCAACCAGCTTCTGAGGCTGAAAGAAAAAAGTTCATAATTAAAAAACCTGTTCTAGCTGAGAGCCATTTGTACATACTAACATTAGCCACATCCAGCAACTTTGTCCTGGTGAGTGAAGTAGTGGGGGCGCAACAAGAAAGGTTACAACTGAAGCATTCCTGAGGGTTTTCTGGCCTTGGAAGAGGCATTTCTAAGAAAGCAACATGTACAAGTTACAACTTGAGCTGCAGTCTGAGTGCTCGGAACTTGTTTCACTCCCCTAGTTCAGTGTTAGGATTTTTCAAAAGTTGAGGAGCTGCAAATCAGAAACAGTAACAGTACGTGGCTAAGAAGTTTCTCAGCCCCTCAAGCACTATGAGCCAAGTGCACATATTTCCTTTACAGCATGTTTATTAAAGATATTACACAATAAGAAGAATGGTTGTCCCTTGAGGAACTGGGAGCAGAAGAGCTGTTTAGAATACTCTGATCTCCTTGAACAAGAGAGGTTTCTCAGAAAATACAAGTGACTAATTCATTTACAGCCCTAAATTCCTGTCAGGTCCCCATCTCAATGTCTGCAGATCCAGAACATAAAACAAATCACTTACTGTTCCATATTTAAGTAGTGTAGGCACTCCTGTAAGTTTCAGATTCCTCCTGAATTCATTGTTGGGATCCTTCCAGCTGTTCAGAAAGAAGGTGTTAGGCACAGCTTGTAGAGGGGCATTTTGAAGTTAAAATAGCTTCAAAATTATTCAAAGGCCTTTGCCTCACACCTTCTCAATGCCCTTCTCAAAACAAGCATGCAGATAGGTCATGTCAGAGATGGTGAAGACCTCAAAAATGATAGACTCCTTACAGAAAAGGACAGCTCAGTCAGTTTTTTCAACAGGTCAACCACCAGCCCACCAAGAGAACAAAGTTACCCCATTTGTCAGCATTTAAAGGTACTTACTAGGCTCTATCTCCTACTAGACAGTAGATGAAAACTGACTCATCAGGCAGGTTATGAAGTTCCTTCCTCACAATTGGCTCAGCTGGAAAAAATTTTTTTAAATCTTTTAGTACTTAATACTCGTGCTGCAAGATCACATGCATTTACTTGGACCGGCAAGGCAGCTAATTAATATTTTGTCTGCTTTAGTTAGAGATCTGTATTTCGTTGCACCTGGCTACCCACAAGTTTTTCAGAGTTTATTACATGCTCGAACCCTGACTGGACTTGTGTTGGAGTAAAGGCCAATTTCTTCTCTTAACACGAAGAGAAACACTCGTTCTGTCCTGTCCTGGGTGTGGTAGCGCAGCACAGCGCCCTTCTGCAGGCAGACGGTTCCCTAAGGCACCTTCATACCTGCTGAGACACGTAAAGCCCGGCAGTTCAGTGCGGTGATTTCTCAGAAGGAAATGCTGCCGCTGGGCACGGTCGGGGAGGCAGCGCTGCGGCTGCACTGTGCACACGGTGACACTGAGCGCAGCACTCGGGTCTGCTCGCCTGCCGGCTGTGTGCCAGCCCCCGCCAGCAGCCCGTGCCGTTCCACGTGCGCCACACAGCCCGCTCAGCCCGCTCGGTTCACCAGGGCAAAGCGCCCTGGAGCCCGGCCCCGCCGCGGGGCTGCTCTGCCCGCCCGGCATTTTCCGGAAAGGCACCCGGGGCCTCCCCGGCTTCCTCAGGACCGACACGGCCCTGCGCTCCCCCACGGGCCTCACCCGTCACGCAGTCGGGACACCAGCTCCTGCCCTCGGCGTCCTTATCGCCGCAGAAGAGCGCGAAGATGGGCCGGCCGTGGTAGCTCTGCGCCGTCCGCACGAACTCGGGGTACCCGCGGACCTGCCTCTCCTCCCAGCCCATGGCGGCAGCGACTGAGGCCCCGCCCGGCGCGGCCCGCGCGGCCGCCGTAGCTCCGCGCGCTCCCGGCGGCCCCTGCGGCGGCGGGACCGGGTTCGAACGGCGCCTGCTGCAGCCCGGGCCTCCCGTCCGTCTGTCCGTCCGTCCCTCCCTCCGTCCGTCTGTCCCTCCCTCCCTCCGTGTGTTCGTCCGCCCCTCCCTTGCGGCAGCGCCCGGGGCTCTCCGTGCCGGTGCCGCCCGGGACGCCGTGAGGGCCAGGGGCGGGAGCAGCCGCGGGCCCTGTGCGGCCGCGGAGAGGCCGCCCCAGGCTGTCCGCCGCCCCTCGGGCTGGTTCTCCCTTTGTTACTCACATCAGGCCCGGGATGGCTTTTGCCAGCCTGAAGTAGCGGCTCACTGCTCTCGCATTCACAGCTGTGATCACAGGCAAGGGATAACAGCGGCATTCGCTCTCGAGCCGATGAGATGGTACCAAGCAAGACAGCGGTGTCTGATGGTGCGTTTGCATTCACCACCCAGCGATACGGCAGTGAAGCTAAAGCTTTACAAACACAGGTACCATTTGCCGTCTGTAGCGATGCTGAATTGGTTTTCTTTGTGATTGTAACAAAAAGATGATTCTGACCCACTTCATAAGGCAGCCCAGCAAGGAGTGTCATACTGGCTTTCCTCGTGCTGTCACATTAACTTGACACTGTCCTTTAGTGAGGCTAGATATCACAAACTGTATGTGTAATTATTCTTAATTGTCTCTTGTGGTTCAATCCCAGTAGGCAGCTGAGCATGCAGCCACTTGCTCACCCTCTGCCAGCTGGGATGGGGAAGAGAACTGGAAGGCGAAAAGTATGAAAAATTATGGGTTGTGATGAAGGCAGGTTAACAGGGAAGGCAAATGCTTTCCTGTTTGTGTGCACAAACAAAGCAAAATAAGGAATTTATTCTCTCCATCCATGAGCAGGCAGGAATTCAGCCATTTTCATTACTTCAGCACGTATAACAGTGACTGAGGAAGACAAATGCTGTCACCAGTCTCCCCTTTCTCCTTCTTCCCTGCAGCTTTTACTGCTAGGCATGGTTCCCCAGGGTGTGGAATATGCCTTTTGTCAGATGGGGTCAGCCATTCAATTGTTTATTCTCTAGCTTCTTGCCCACCCCCAGGCTACTCAGTGGTGAGCAGGTGAGGAGCAGAAAAGGCCTTGAGCACCACTTAGCAAGAATGAAAACATTGGTGTGCTGTTAGCACTGTGTTCATCATAAATCCAAAACAGTTGCATCAGGACAGTTGCATCACCTGTGTATAGCATTCTGTATAACATCAGGGTTTTTTTTACACTTTGAACAGCTCCAGTTTAATAGAAATGTTCCTGCAGTTCCAGAGAACTTGGCTCTCAGATTCTCTCACCCCCGTCCAATTATAATAGAAAAACTGAAGGTGTCCAGTGATCAGAGAAAGCTCGTTGGAAGTGAGGACCTCAGCCTGAGAAGCTCTGGGATGTTCTCAGTGGTATCTGAAGAGAGACTTAAATTGGCTGTTCAGCTGGCAAAAAGGGACATCAAACAAAGACGTCTCCAAGAACAAGTGAAGCAGCAGGTATTTGGAGATGTCGTCAGTACACCGTTGTGGGCCCAGAAATCACAACCACAGAAGACTGAAGTATTTGCAGGTCAAGAAAATAAAAATACCCTGAAGTCTCAGACTCACTTGACATGTCAGCAGAGGCTTGCCCAGCCTTCCCGAGGGGGGTCTGCCAGCTCTGACACGAACGTTCATCTCTGTGCAGCTAAGGAAGGAAAGCCAGTACCAGCTGTTTTGGACTCTCCTCCCACTCGGGACACAGGAACAGACCCCAAGCAAAATTTAAATAAAAAAACCCATCAAAATATGCTGGAAGTCCAACGTCTGCAAAAAGAATTGAGGAGCTATGTCCAGAAAATTGAAGCTATTATTAAAAAAGGTGTAAGACTGAACAGTAATTATGTTATATACATGTACACTAGTTTGTTGATTCTCCCCCCATTTTTTGGGTTGGATTAGAATTTGTATTTATGTCTGGACTTTTGAGAACCATCTATTTTTTGAAAAGTAAATAAAATAATAGCTAGCCAGCTTAAGCAGTTGGTGCTTTTGTAATAACTAGCAGGGGGTTTAACCGTTCCTAATTTTGAGTGCTTTATCTGCAACTTTGTCATAAAACTAATCATAAACATGATTTTTTAATAACTAATGAGCTGTATTGTATTAGACTGTTTAGTCAAATTCTAAATAGAAACAGGATGTAGAGTTTACAATAACTAACTTGCATTACTGTTAAAGGAACCCCCACAAATATGTGGTTTGGTTTTGCATGGAAAAGGCTTATTACTAAATTGTGTCTGTTGTTATGACTTAATTGGCATTTTCACAGGTTAAATTAAGATATAAAACTTTATATTCTGTGCTTTTTAGGGAGAGATAGAGAACTTCTAGATCCTGAAAACGAGCAGCGGCTTTGCAGTAGGAGACAGCAACAGGCTGCACGGTCAGCTCGGATGCTGTATGTGCTCCAGCAACAGGTGGGAGCCATGGTTTAAACTGGGATGCATAGGAGCTTATTTTGTTGTGATGAATTTGTCAGAAACTAACTGAAACAAGAGAAGTTATCTCTGAACTTGTATGGCATTCTAGTTTAGATCTGAATGGTGTGACTGATTTCCTTCATGGCTGGACAGAGAGGTGAGCATCACTGTTGGAAAATCTCAGATGCTACAGTGAAGATCTATTGTTCATTTATAGCCACAGAAGTAATTGTGACTGACTTGCTCCTCTCTGTTTCCTTTCTTCATAAACAGGTAAAAGAAATTCAGGATGATTTAGAGAAACTGAGTCCTCATACAATCAAACATACTAAAAAGGTAAGATGTAATTATCCTTCAGGCTGTAAGTGACTTATTGACAGAGTTTTCTGGATAATTGAGTTTGGTTGTCTAGGTGGCAGCTAAGCCCTTTCCAGAAAGGAGATTTCCTTTGTATATTACATATTTCATCTCATTCCCCAAGAAGTATGGCTCACTTGGCCTGATACTGCCTTTGCTGCTTCTCCTCACGTCTCATCTGCAGTAAATGAGAGGAAGGTGGTTGGTCTTCTGCGTTTATGTGGCTTCTAATTCCTTCTTCATTCCAATTTCTTTTTGCAAGGAATTAGCAACGTGCTCTACTCTTGACTGCTTTTTTTAGACTTCTGGTTGATGACACTCAGTCTTACCAGCCTTCTTTCTGATTTTCTTCTCTGTCCAGCACCTTTCAGGGGGATGGCTGAGATCATGCCCACAGTCTAGCCAATGTTGCCCTGATGTTCTCTTTTCCTTTTTCAATCACCTGCATTTTCTTCTGTAACAAAACAAGGAGGATTGAGGATATCCTTGTTTGTGCAATTGTTGCACATTAGACTCCAGCCAACTGTAAATGGCACAGGTAGTAGAAACATCATGACATGTTATACCCAGGCTGTTTTACCTGAGGCCAGCATGACGTTGATAGGAGTACTCTTGTGAGGAATCTTGAGTTTTGTTTTGTCTCACAAATGGATTAATATCAATTAAAATTATTCCAAGCCTGAGTGTTTCTGCGTGACATTTTGGCAACAATTCTTCCAGTGCTGTAAGTATCCATAGAAGCTATAGTTATTAAAGCATTTATTTGTTTTTAATTTTTCCAGTCTCGAGCAGTATCCAGGTTGGCAGCAGCACACAGAGGAGCTGTACGAACCTTGCAGGCGTTTGCCAATCAGTTTACAGATCAAACAGATGAGCAGATTCCTGCCCACTACAAGGAACTGGGCAGTCTCATTCGTCAGCTGTCTCTCTGCTCCGCCAAACTAGAAGGGAATTCTTCCATTTCTGAAGCTATCATAGACATTTTGCTGCAAGTCGAGGTAGGAACAAAACATTTGTTTTTGCTAAGGCAGGAAAGAGGTGGTGAAATATGAGATTGTGTTAATGAAATGGCAGAATATATTACTGGATTTGTTTTTATTTTTTAAAGGCCATATTTTCTAATGTAAAAATGTACTTCTAATGTTCCTAAGTAATGGTGGTCTAAAAGAGACATGCATACTAAACACAGAATCTACCTACTGCTGGTCTTGTTGATGCTGTTCCTGGCTTTCTTGGCTGTCCTGGTAGAATGAGGACTAGTGGCGATAGTCATAACAAAGCATCAGTTTCTAATTCATTAGTTATTTTCAGGACAGAGAGAATTCATTTTATACATAGGTATGCATTAATGTTTTATTACCCTGGATGCATGCTTTAGTCATCACTATCAGTAGGGAGCACCTGAGCATCTCATACAGTGCTGCGTGCAGAGTTGTCCTGGCAGAAGATAAAGTTGTGGGTACAAGAGTTACTTGGCTCTGTGCCCTTCAATATCTTTTTTAATGATATCTGATGACTTACACATGTCATTGGTATCATAGAAAAGTTCTGATTCATATTGCCTGCTGCATAAATCAAAAAAAAGCAATACCAGAGCCATAATACTTTCCTTAAAATACTGTTAAAACTGTAAGAGCTGTGGTTTTAATTTTAGTGTTAGGACCTGCTTATGAGGACAGTAAGAGTGCTAACTGCCTGGGAATGGAAAATGAGGTAGTTGTTTAAGTTTGGACATAGCATTGGAAGAAGTGTCTGTGTTACCATAGTCATGTGACTGTGAAATTTTTGTTAGTCTGTAGCTCCTGTGTTCAATTCTTTTTGAGCATTCTTTAAGCAAATGGTTTGCTGGAGTCAGTTGTAAATACAAAAATGTAAGCCTTCTCAGCAAAATTGAAGTTAATAAAGTGAAAAAATTTCCATATGAACAAGGTATCAGTCTGAAAAAACCTGAAAGTTATCATCTGAAAAAAAAAAAAAAACAAACCAAAAAAACCACCAGACCACAAAAGCTCCAGCTGCTTAGAATGTCTTGAATTTGCTTTTCATTACATCAGATTTACTGAGAGAGTAATTAAAACTCTAAATATTTGGTGCAGGATCTAAATTCACTGCTGGAAAGCAAGCAAACACCAAAAGCAATGAAGAAATGCATTTCAGCTTCTCAGGCCAAATCTCCAAGGAACACCGAGACGTTTCCAGACAGAAAGCACTTTCTGTCTCCAA